CCATTTTAGCCTCTGCCAGAGCAAGTACTGATGGTCTATGAAGACCTAGAGGTCTAAATTCTCAGCGAGGTCTTAAGCAAAATCATACACTTATGGGACTTTCAGAGGCCTGGCACTACGAGCTTTTCTGAGTCCCTAAACTCACTCCTTAAATCATCCCTCAGCCCTCTAGACTTCAGGGACAATGGACCTCCTATGGTTCACACCCTCACTTATTACCCACCATACCCTACAAAGCGAAGTTCTTCCTGAGTGAACAGAGATGCTGGTTCCACAGAAAGAAGGACCATCTGATTCAAAACCACCATTTTCTTGAAGACACAACTACACTGCTAAGGTAACTGATCTCACTTACATTTTGCCCAGTTGGGGTGGGGGAGGACAGGAAAGATTTTCTCCACCCCAGAAATCATCAGGACTATTGGTTTCTGACTCTAGGCTAAGGAAATAAAATTTAAAGAAATCACAGCTCCGGCCCTGATCCATCTGTGCAGGCTCCCCACCCAGGGGGCTCCAGAACATAAACTAGGCATTGGAGACTCGTTGTAGAGAAAGAATCTGCTTGAAACTCTATGGCAGGAGGTAAGGCAAGCAGCCATTAGCCCTTATCCACCACCCATGTTCTCCCCGGGTCACTAGATGGCAATGACCCATACATCTTATTAATAGTTCCCTGTCCATTGCATCCCATGAGAGACTCCTGCTACCAGATCATTTACAAAATAGTCTTGGATGATGAAGAAAAAGAGAAAGGGGAAAGAGGGGAGGAGGAGAAGGAGAAGAGGAATAGGAGGGGGTAAAGAGGAAGAAATAGACTTCTTCATACAATGACTGTGGCTGTGGCCAAGATACAGACTGTTCTTTGAGAGCTGTGCTTAATGCTGAATACTGAAATCACACTGTGAGATCTCAGACATATCCCCACCCCACCCTACCCTCTCCCTCCGCCCCAGGACTTTCCATAATGAAGGAAAAGGGAAACAGACTTTCTTTCAGACTTACTCAGAGCTCCATACAGTCATTTTTTAACCACCATCTTTTCCCATCATCTTAGTTACTTTCTATTGATATGATAAAACATCATGACCAAGGCAAATTATACAAGAAAGCACTGAATTTGGCTTACAGTTTCAGAGGGCTAGAGTCCATGGTAGCAGAGAGTAAAGGAACAACCTAGACTTCATATTTTAATGCACAAGCATTAGAGAGAGAGAGAGAGAGAGAGAGAGAGAGAGAGAGAGAGAGAGAGAGAGAACGGGGAATCGCAGGAGTCATTTGAAACCTCAAAGCCCACCTTCAATGACACATCTCCAACAAGGTTACACTTCCTAATCCTTCCCAAACAATTCCATCAAACAGGTACCAAGTATTCAAATATGTGATCCCATAAAAGTCATTCTCATTCAAACCACCACACCCATGCTCTCTTGAGCAGTATTTTTGCTGATTGAGGTTTATGAAACCCATGCTCAAAGCACCTGCAGTTTTAGAATGTAAGTTCATGAGTGAAAGAACATCTTTTAAAAGTATTCAAGTCATCTGCATATAGAGAAAGCCATTTAGCTGACGTATGTAAAACCTCACCCATTTCTCAGCATTTACTAAAGCCTTGTGATTGAGAGAGAACATAATCACACCTGATACTACAGAAGAAAATCTAGGCTGAGAAGAACTCAGTCACCAAACCCAGTGTGTCCTCAAGACCAGATCCCAAATTTGCCTATTTAAAAGCCCTGAGAGGGATTTCTTAGGTCTTAGTGTGTCAGTTGGATGGACTGGACAGTATGAGGTGTAGTGTTGGAATCTGTAGTGAAAGAAATACTGAACTTCTATAACATCCAGTCAAAGTCAGCTCCTAATCTACTAGGAGAAAAGAAGCCAAAGAAATGGTCTTAAGACTACTTCCTGCTTGAGAACATCTCAGAAACAGTCAAGGCTTTCTAGTAAATCCAGGGTAGCACACAGTCCCACCCTAGATGGAGAGGAACAAATGTTCATGTGGGGTCTCCGAAAGCTCTGGCCCTGCCCAAGCCCTCAGCTCTCCTTTCCAAACTGAGGTAAAATCCCATCCCTTTTGTCCAAGGGACAGCATCAAAGCCTTCCCTCCTCCTTGGCTTTTACTGATGTAGAACAATTGTAATTCCTAAGTCAAATGGTAAAATAGCAATAGCATCTAGAAAAATCATTATTGAAAATGCAATTCCCTACCCTTGGCTCCGACCCAGCTTCTCCCTCTCTGTCTGGGGCCTTCTCTCAGGCAGTCTGCCTGGTTTTCTTACTTGACTTGTCCCCCAAGTGACCCCCACACAGATCACCCAGAGGGGTTTCCATGCCTTACTTGCTCTACTGGCACCTATAGTCAGACCCTTGCTCTTCAAGCTGTTTAATAAAGTTGAGAAATGATATGTAGAGGTAAGCAATTTTTATCATCATGATCCCTGTAAAGAGCCCTGCTTAACTATTCCCTGACATCTCACTGGTTTCTGGTCTCGGCTTTAAATTGCATTTGCAGAACATGAGCTTTTCCCTAGGAGGGCATCACCAAAGTATATTTCATAGAACACTAGCTTGACAACGTGTTCCGAAAACATAGGGATTTCGTGATTTGAATATACATATTCTCTTGAGTTTCTCATGATTATTCATATCTAACCCCTCATAAAGCCGTTTTTATTGGATTTTGCCTTTTTCTATTAGCAGCTAGAGGCAAAAAGGCTTTGGAGAAAACATTTTAGACGTGGCTGTTCTAAACTTATTTTTTAAAAAAGATTGCCAAAGAATTGGAAAATTCAGCTGAGTGTGGTGGCGTAAGCTTTTAATCCCATCACTCAGGAGACAGAGATAGGCAGATCTCTGAGATCAAGGCCAGCCTGGTTAATACAGTGAATTCTAAGCCAGCAAGGGCTACATACATAGTGAGTGCCTGTCTAAAAAACAAAAGGAAAATTCAAATCTGTTTCTTTTTTAAAAAAAAATAACTTTGATACATAAATGCCAAGCTTAATACATTTTCATGAGCTTTAAAAGCTCGATTCACTCTTAAGCACATGTAGGCATTGTAATCACATTGCTAGAACACTGCTTAGCAAGCAGATATTCTTTGTGCTCTGTTCCACAGTTTCTTAGACTCCATGGTGAGAGATGAATCACATAACTGAAGTCAGGGGTGGAGGGTTCACAAAAAAAAAAAAAAAAAAAAAAAAAAGAAAAGAAAAGAAAAGAAATCTGACAGTGTTACAAGGTTGCAAATATGTGAAGGCCAAAGAATTAACTCAAAACCAAATATGATGCACCTGAGGTCTTTACTCACCCCTGCTGCACTCTGCAGCCTCACTGTCCAGCCTTGGTTCTGAAAACACAAGTACTTAGCATCACGTGAACTATCATACCATACAACAAGTGGTGCCGGAAACACCTTGCTCAGACTCAAGAATCCTGTGTGTTATAAAAACAGTGGGTTTTTTTTCTATACATATCAAGTTTTCTGCTCTTACAAACATAATGCTCAAAAATTTAAAAAAGTGTGGGGTTGGGGAGACTCAATAGTTCTCTTCTGGCAATCCTCAGAGTGTAAGTACCAGGTTAATATATCTTTGGATTGTGCTGTTAGAGTGTCTGACTTTTAAAATCCGTTTGGGTTGTTGATTTGAGCTTTATTTTTTTTAAAATTATTGAATGGATTTTGGCTTAGGATTTCCAATAATTGATGAAATGACCCAAACCATACTTTGTTGTTTTATATTATATATTTATGGGAAGCTGTCTTCTCAGAGATGATTATTATAAAATCAAAATATCTGTCAACTCTGAAAAATGTTGACAGTGCTCTGCATCTTCCAGTGTCAAATATTCAGCCAAGACTTGGCCGATTATTTAAAACTAAAGATAGATAGATAGATAGATAGATAGATAGATAGAGATAGAGATCATTATTGTGCAAATTTGATTTTGTCTTTAACAAATAGTAAAAATATATGTATAGCAAAGATTTGTTTAAAAATAAATTTCCTTGTGATTTATTACTAGTAAATGCTTAATTTGAATACTTATTTTATATACCTTTGTACCTGGGGTCACATAAAAATTTCTCAGGTGGAAAAAGTGTCATGCATAGAAGAAGTTTGAAAATATCCGTTCTACCACATCAACTATCCATTCAGCCTATCTCCAGAAGATGTACCTGAGGTCCTCTGTTGTAGAATATTATTTTAAGGTATGCTACTTTTGTTTATGTTGCATTTGTTTAACTCTGTGAAGCTGTGTTACTGTGCCTGTCTAAAACACTTGATGGTCTAATAAAGAATTGAATGGCCAATAGCAAGGCGGGAGAAAGGATAGGTGGGGCTGGCAGGCAGAAATAATATATAGAAGGAGAAATCTGGGAGAAGGAGATCTAGGAGCCAGAGAAAGAGGAGGACATCAGGGGCCAGCCACCCAGCTACACAGCAAGCCACAGAGTAAGAGTACAATTTACAGAAGTAAGAGAATGGAAAAAGCTCAGCGGCAAAAGGTAGATGGGATAATTTAAGTTAAGAAAAGCTAGCTAGAAACTAAGCCAAGCTAAGGTCAGGCATTCATAATTAAGAATAAGCCTCCAAGTGATTTATTTGGGAGTTGGGTGGTGGGCCCCCCGAAAAAGAGCAGAAAATGAACAACAATTCTCCCTCAACTTGGATTTCAAGACAGAGAATTTTTACTAGGCATTTGTTACCATCTTATCCCCTTCAAATATTTGATTTCTCCCACCCTGTTCTACATGCTATAATGAGATCCTTCTAGACAACATATGGCTAAAACAAAAAAATGATAATATCAAATATTAATGAGGAAGAGAAATATACTCATTTATACTTTGGTGGTGGACATGTGAAATGTACAGCCACTTGGGGAAACAGGTTGGCAGTGTTACATAAAACTGGTTATTTGACTACTACACAACCTAGCAATTGCACTCTTGGGCAAAATTCCACATAAAAGAAATCTTCAGTTCACATTCAAAGTATGTATACAAATGTGCATAGCAGCTTTATTTGTAATATCCCATGGCATTGTCTGAATTTTTATGCCCTGTAAATATTCATATTTTGAAATCCTAATCTCCATGGTGATAGTGTTAGGAAGTAGAGTCATTAGGGTATAATTAGATCACAAGGGCATAACATTCATAAACAGAATCTTCACCATTATGAAAAGACCCGAGGGAGGTCCTTCATGTTTTCTACCATATGAAGACACAGTAAGAAAATGGCCATATATGAACCAGAAAGCCATCCCTCACCAGACGCCAAACCTGTGGATGCCTTGAGGACTTCTCAGCTTCTAGAACTGTGAAATATATCTCTGTTGTTTCTAAGCCATCCAGTTAACAGTATTTAATTATACCAAACCCAGAGGAGTAATACAACCCATCATGGGGAACATTGAACAGCCTTCAATGAGTGAAAGTAATGAACTATTTATATATACAAGTTGGGTAGGTAACAAGAGAACTGCGGTGAGTATAAAGTCAGTCAAAAAATATCACATATCATCTGATTCCATAACACTCTTGAAATGATGAACTCATAGACGTGGAGACAAGATTAGTTGATTGCTGAGGGTTGGAGTAGGATTGAGAGGAAGCAGATGTCGTTATTTAAAGGGGAAGCAGAGAATCTTGTGGTGATGGGAGAGTTCCAGATGTTGGCTATGATGATGGATGCTGTTTCCCACACATGTGATAAAATCATATAGAACTGCACACAACAAATGAATGCAGCCAGAAGGAGAAATCCAGGTAACACTGATGGCTCTTGTCAATGCCAGCTTCTTGGTTGTGACACCGTCAATTTGAAGAAACTAGAAAAAGAATACACAAGATAATACGGCCACATAAGAGAGATAGATGATGGTAAAAATCTCAGTGTGTCAATGAACTCTCATGCTTTCAACAAAGACAAAATGATATTTCATAACATACTACTGATAGTCTGCTTTTCCCTGTTGGGAAGAAGACAATAAATAATACTAATTTTAATGAAAAGGTGAACATTAGATGGGAAAATGTTTTCCAATAAGAGTTTTTAGATAGTGGATTTCCTTGTGAACATGCTCTGATTGGTACTCAGCTAAGTCCTTACAGAGACACTGAAGATTCCTCAAATGCTCTCTCCACTGGTTTCTCATTTCCTGTGATCCTCCATGAGAATTCTTAGTACATTGGCTTCCTAGGACTCCCAGTTCTACCACTTCAGTGAGAGCAAGAACACAGCCTGGGCTCCTTTTATACACACTGTGACTTGAAATCTTTTCCAGATGTGAACTGAGCAGTATCAGGGCCCCTCTACTTTTCTGTCTCTTCTACCATTATTTTCTGGGTGGTCATTGCCTTCCGCAGCATCATTTCATGCATTTTGTCTAGTTCTTTAGTTGTGTCGATGTGAGACTGAATCAGATCCCTCTTGCTAAGCTCAGGGAAAAGAGGGAAAACTTTAGATATGTCCCAATTTTCAAAGAACTTCCAGTTCACATCTGGGACCCCAGCTGTGTACAACATGGAGCCCTGTGTTTTCTTCGTTGAGGGTAATTATAAAAATTATAGTGTATCACTAAGGTGACTTACATTTTCAGGTTTCCTTTCTTCACATTAGAAAAGATTCGAAGGAAGAGAATTTAACCAGAACTGGCATTGTTCCAAAGATTAAAAACAGAACAACCCAGAATAACCATTAAAAGCGAGGGTTACTGTAGTGTGATGCTTTTAGGCTCCTTAGAATAGGAAAGAGCCTGGTATTCCTCTCCACTCATATGGTCCCATTACTCCTAAAGGACCAATCCAGAGCGCCTCTACCAATACGAAAATACCCATTTCCCGGCATGAGATTCAGCGATCTGGCCTTTCTCAAACCAATAATTTTAGCTTTAAATTGCTAACATGCAACTTAAAGAGGGAACTAGTAGTTGACCAACTGTCACTCATGGGACCATGTAGACAAATTTCTAAAAGGTCTTATTAATAAAAACAAACCCAGAGCCAGGTACTGGGGTGAATGCTGAAAGACCAGAGAAACAGAACAAGCCACAGTCAACCTCACCTCACCAATTCCTCAGCTGATCTCCTTTCCTCAAACTGAAAGCTTCTGAGTCCTCATCTGAATGGATCTCAGCTGAACTGCTGCTAAAAGCCTAAAAGCTTAACAAGCCTCTAGTTCTTGGTCCTCACGCCTTACATACCTTTCTGCTTCCTGCCATCGCTTCCTGGGATTAAAGGCGTGAGTCACCATGCCTGGAGATTTCCAGTGTGGCCTCGAACTCACAGAGATCTGCAGGGATCTCTGCCTCCCAAGTGATAAGATTAAAGGTATGGGCCACCATTTTCTGGCCTCTATGTCTGTCTAGTGGCTGTTCTGTTCTCTAACCCCAGATAAGTTTATTAGGGTGCACAATATATTGGGGGACACAATAGCACCACAGGACCACATGTGCCCTCATTGATGGTTTGTGGGCTAAGAAACATAAAATCAGTGAACATCTGAACTGAGGACTTGGCTCAGTTTATATAGAGCTTTTGCCTGTCGTTTGCATGGACCCTAGATTCAATCCTCTGAACCAGAAAAAAACAAAAAACCAAACAAAAAACAATGAATTCCTGTGTTCAACAATTTAGTGTTTTCTGAGATCAAAGTCCCAAGGAAGAACCTAGAGTGTGGAGGAGGAGTGTTTTTTCCAGAGGAAAGGGTTGAAAGACCCCAGCTTAAGAAATGTGAAGAAGTAATGCATGTGAGTGAAGGTGACACTGACATCAGGACAGCCAGCTCAGAGAAAGAGGTACGTAGTTGGATTTCCATCACTAGGACCAAGGATATCACAATCGAACTATGAGATAGAAGGATTTAGTCCTCCTCACAGTTGGAGGTCTCAGTCCATGGCTGATTTGGCTTCTCACTTTGAGACTATGACAGGAAGTACATGGTAGACGAGGTCTGTTCACTTCCCAATGGTTGGGAAGCAGAGGGAAAAAAGAGCTGGTGTACCAAGGTTACTTGAAGGGCAAGTCCCTGTGACCTAATTTCTTCTCACTAGATCTCAAAAGAGTCTACCATCTGCCAGTAACCTCACAGGCTGGGGACCAATCACTCAACATGTGGGTCTTTGGAAGACATTCCAGATAAAAAGCAGATCATACATCTTCCTTGGAAAGGTCTAAGATCTGAAGTTTCTGTCTTACGGCAGTAAAAATAGAAAGCCAAACCAAAGTACAAATTCAATCTTTGTTCATATTGTGAGAACTTTTCCTTGTGAGTTTACCCTAAACCTGTCCACAGGAAACTGTACAAGTAGCACAGCCCATTGCCTCACTGTGGGAAGATGGGTGTTTCTCTGCATTGTTCTCTGGGATCCAGTGGAGAACCGTTATCGACAGCTTAGTTTGTTAACTGAGGCCGCACAGGTCTGTGGGATCAAGTGTCCTTGACTGACTCCTTCAAAGTCCCTGGTCTTAGCCTTTTGCTATACCATCTCCTGAGGCTGGTGCCAGTTAGGGAGCTAGACGGAGAGTAGCAGGCTTGTAGCCTAGTGGGGATAGACTAGGTTAGGGTTAGGGTTAGGTTAGGTTAGAATTACTTTTTAAAATTTGTTTATTTATTGTAATCCTGGTTGCAACTTCTCCTCCCTCCTCTCCCCCTTGAACCTCTCTTCACACCCTCCTTGTTCCCACCACCCAATCTACTCCCCTCCATTTCTGTTCAAGAAAGGGCAAGTCTCCCATGAGTATCAACAAAACATGGCATATCAAGTTACAGTAAGACTAAGCATCATACATAGGATATACACACATATACACATAAATAAAATTTAAAATTAACCCCTCCCCCTAAACTAGAACTGTCAAATGTTGATGAGCTTATGACACAATCAGAAGTATTTACATTTATTGTTAATGGGAGTGTAAAGTTGTTAGGAACATAAGTGAAAAACCATTTCGTGTAACTTGAAAACCATTTTGTGGGGCTTGGAATAGTGTAAGGCTTGCAAGATAGGAGCCAGCCACAAGGCAGGTCTGACATGAGCCAAGTCTAAGGCAGGCTTTGGTATGCTAATGAACAAACCCCAGGATGGCACTGCTATGTCCCTGAACCAGCCCTAAGCTGTGAACTCCAACGGTAATAAGGACTCCAATAGCATAGCACAAAACTGATGCCTATCGGAGTAATACAAAAACTGGAACTTCAGAGACGGCCCTTAGTAGTGCACTGCCATGTTCCCAAGACATCGGTGCTGAAACCTATTGGCACAGGGACTTTGAGACTAGACACTGCATGGCCTCTGACTCCAGCGGTCCTTGAGTATCTGACATCATCTGAGTTCACACATACCTCCAGTCAGCTCTAGCAACTGGTTGATGCTCTCAAAGTCCTTCTGGGACCTCCAACAGTGGCATCCTCCAGGCCTGCCACAGTTGAAGGACTTCATAGTTAATGCAGATTGAGTTTGGAGAAGATTCCCCAGTGGAACCCTGCAGCAGTCTCTGCCTGTCAGTCATTCCTATCGGCCGCATGTCTGTTGACATGGGATTACCACAACCTTCATAATAACATGGTATTATAAGGAATGATTTTGGGAATAAACTGTGCATGTTCAAAAGGCAAAAAAAAAAAAAAAAAAAAAAAAAAACACCCCAGCTTAGTTTCCCTTAGATGCTAGACCATTGGTGTCTACCACCCATAAGGTGTTCATAAGTTCGTAGATTTCAGAGATACTGTAAATCCAAATGGTTTCATTGCTTGTAGGTTACAGAACACTGTTGCTGTAGTTTTCTAGCCCCCTGAATTCACACAGGAGCTTAGTCACTAATGACATACATTAATTGTGTTAAGAAGTCAGAAACATAGTCTAACCGTTTTTTAGAAGGGGACAATGGAAGGTTATTAAGATTAGGCAGAGTCCTCATACTGGAGGTGCCATGATTAGCTTCTAGTTGATTTATAATGAGAAGGGGGAGGGGACGGAGGAGGAAGAGAGAGAGGAGAAGCGGGTAGCAGAGGGACCAGTTATCCCCAAGATAGATAAGTACTTTGTAGTCTCTTGCCATGTGATGCCCTGAGTCTTCTTGGGACTTTGCCATCAAGAATGTCATCAGCAAATGTGAACTCTCTCATTCCAAAACTTTGATCTAAGTAAACTTTTCTTTGTAAAATTACTTGCTTCAGGTACTGCATTATAGCAACATAAAAATGAACTTAAAACTATGTCTTGGAATAAAAGGGTTTCTTGTACTAACGGCTAGACTAACTTTATTGAATATTTTTCCCAAAATAGCCCATAGATTCTGATAAGGCAAAGATTCCAGGTCCTATTCATAGCGATCGTCTCAGTTTTCTTTCCATGTCTGGCATTTTAGAGGAATTTAGGAATGTTAGTTGATGGGAAACCCTCAGAGAAACTCTTGTTCCCACTAACAAATCTGAACAGTGGTCCAAATGGAGACAGAACATGAAACCCAGCTTTAGCACTGTGGTTCTGGTCCATTTACCCCTCCTGCTGGGCTTTAGGAACCAGAACTGAAGGGTGAAGAGATGACCCTTAGCACCATTTCGGAACCCTTCCCAGTACATCGCTGTGTGTCTCTGCCAAACCCTAAAGCCTCACGTCTCCTCTCAGCTCGGTAACATCTGTGCGTTTCCTCAAGTCCATTCCCAGATTTGATAAATATAGAAGGCTGAGCAGAGTGAAGCAGCTCTAGGAAATGAGAGTGGGGATAATGGGTCCCTGTGCCCTAGAAATCTGGCACTGCTGGACTGAGCTAAATTAGGCGCAAAGAAGCCATCTGGTCAATTTAGTTTTAATCCCATCAAGTTTTTGAAAAACATTCGCCAGTGGTTCAGGAGTGAAGGGAAAGTTTAAAAATAGTATAATTAGATGTGATGCCAGCAAGTCATGTCACCAGCCACCCAAAAGCAAGGAAGGAAAACAAAGTAGAAATTGCAAACATGATTAAATGAATACACCAAAATAAATAATAATAAAACCAAGCGGGCTGTGGCCTCAACCCCCACATCTCCTCGGCAGCTTCTTGCCCTCCATGTGCAGGGCTGCTTGGCAGGCTGGGATTAACTGGCTGGGTTCAGCAGTGCCCAGGAATGTGTGTGAGAAGAACTGCCAGGCTCTGCTGCCCAGGCAGGCTGTCTCCAAGAGGCTGCATATGGTGGGACTAATGGGCACCAGCAGGGCCCTGATGTTGAGGTACCGTGCATCAAACCAGGTTATGTGGCATCCAGAATGCAGAGGTGCACCACTGCTTACCAGGAAAGGAAAGGCAGCCTATAGATATATTTTTAGGACTGAGCTTATCTGCCTGAATCAGATAAGATAGCACCTTCTTCTGTACCTAGGAAAGCACCTTACCCTCTTAGTTCTCTGAAAACACATGTTCAAAACTTCTTTGTAGATACCAGATTCCCTAATTTAGTGGAGATTTACAAGAAATCTTAAAATTCCAGTGCTAGAAGATTTCATCCCAAGCAATGCCCAGAGGCCCCAGATCAAACCTCCAAGACAACAGTTAAAAAGAGTACCTGTCTGACTTCTCAGAAAATTGGGAATCAATCTTCCTCAAGACCCAATGATACCACTCTTGGGCATATACCCAAGGGATGCCTAATCATACCACAAGGACACATGCTCAACTGTTCATAGCAACATTATTCGTAATAGCCAGAACCTGGAAACAACCTAAATGCCCCTCAACTGAAGAATGGATAAAGAAAATGTGGTACATATATACAATGGAGTATTACTCAGCTGAAAAAAGCAGTGAAATTTGCAGGCAAATGAATGGACCTAGAAAATATCATCCTGAGTGAGCTAACCCAGACTCAGAAGGACAAACATGGTATATACTTACTCATAAGTGGATACTAGATGTAAATCAAGGGGTAATCAGACTACAACCCATAGCTCCAAAGAAACTAGTCTTCATCCAGTAACTGATGGAAGCAGATGCAGAGATCCGCAGCCAAGCACCAGGCCAAGCTCCGGAAGTCCAGTCAAACAGAAGGAAGAAGGATTCTATGAGCAAGAGGGAGGTCAGGATCATGATGTGGAAATCTACAGAGACAGCTGAACCAAGCTTGTATGAACTTACAAACTTTAGACCAATAGCTGTGGAACCTGCATGGGACTAGACTATGCCCTCTGCATATGGAAGACAGTTGAGGGGCCCCTAGCAGTGGGATCAGAATCTATCCCTGATGCATGAGCTGCCTTTCTGGAGATCATTACCTATGGTGAGACACCTTGCTCAGCCTTGATGCAGTGGAGAGGGGCTTGGTCCTGCCTCAACTGAACATACCAGGCTTTTCTGACTCCCCATGGGAGCCCTTACCCTTTTGGAGGAGGGGATGAGAGGTAGGTCAAGGGGGGAAGGCTGGGGAGGGGAGTGAGAGAAGGGATAAGAGGGGGATCTGTGATCTGTGGTTGGTATGTAAAATGAATAAAAAATTTCTTAAAGAAATTAAAAAAAAAAAAGAGTGCCTGTCTCTATTGCTCTATCCAGGAGCACATTCAAGACCAAAGCTACCAGCACACCAGGAAGTTAGCACCTTCTCTCTGATGTGACCTGTTCTGTATCTTGCCAGATGTGTGCAGGTGGAACACTATGTGAAGAACTGTGTCCACGTGGCAATAGTGCTTGATGCCACAAAGTGCCCATTTCAGAGCCCGCAGGCACTGGTCTGTGCCTCAGTCTACCACTTGCTGACTCTACAATCATGACACATGATAGAGAGTCTATGTCATACAACTTGCTCATGGGCCAAAGAGGTTCTCATGTCCTGTTTTCATAAATTTAAGTTGACACATGAATGTTAAATGTTGCTATCATAAAAGGCTCTTGAAAACTTACTGGAAATACTCAGAGATGGGCATGTGGCAATAAGTATACCCAGGCTGGGAATCATGCAAATGGTTTGTTTCCCAAAATTCCCAGTTGAGTCCTTTCAGTTCCCTGAGCCCCGGCAGCTTTGCTTGCTAAATGGCAGCATGAAGGTAGATATTTGCCTGAGGTGCTTTCCAATACCAGCACACAAGGAAACTAATCATGGGAAAGTTGACATGGGACTTAGGTAGACTGACAAGGACTGCCCATGGCACAGATCTCCATGTTCTAAAGAGAGGCTGCCACACCTCAAACCACGGGCTAGATCCAGTCTGCTTCTGTGAATAAATAATTATTGAAACACAGCTGTGCTCATCCATGACTATGGCCTATAGATACATTCATGCTAGAATAGCAATTGAGTAGTTTTGGACAAAGCTGTATGGAGACAAAGCCTGGTCTACTTATTGTCTTGCGTTTTATGAAAAGTTTGCCATCCCCCATTCTAGGCTGTCCCTGGAGGAGTATAACAAAATATCAAGAACACTTTACTACAATTCTTTATTTTTTTTAAAGAAAGCTTAAAAAAATAATTAATAATCTGATAAATGTTTATGCTTTTACTTTACATTGTGATAAACTACTTGGATTCTTTATCATAAGACAATATTATGAAAACAACAAATTTATGAATCTGGGGAAATGCCATTAATTTCTTCATATCTTTTTGTTTTATTTTGTTTTGTCTTGTTTTTGTTTCTTTTTTTTTTCTTCTGTTGGCAAGCCTTGTTCAACATTCACAGCTTTTTTATTAATTTATTTTTATTATTATATATTTATATTTATTATTATATGTTATGTGGATGTTTATGCCTGCATGTATGCCTACATACAACATACATGCTTGGTGCCCACACAAGCCAGAAGAGGGCATTGGATCCCCTGGAACTGGATCTGGAACAGTTCTAGGTAGTTGTGAGCCACCATGTGGGTGCTGGGAATTGAACCTGGGTCTTTTTCAAGAGCAATCAGTGCTCCTAACTACTGAGCCATCACTCCGGTCCCCTTCATATTGTTTTTATCTCACCGAAATCGTTTTAGGACACATTATGTTTATAGAAGAAATACAAACTTTTCTTCCAAACTGAATAAAAGGAAGGCAGAAGCGATATTTGAAGGGACTGAATTTTTGTCATTCAGTACAAAGCAACCATGTCTTCAGAGAGAAACTCCTCAGCCCTTTCTTCCTTCTACCATTCCTGTCATGGGGAGCATGAAACCCCCTTTTCTTCCCACAGCCACTGTCTCTTTCCCAGACCCAGAAAAGCCATAACCCACAGTTAGACCGAAAGAAGAGGCTGAGTTCATAAAATGTCTGAGACTCTACCATTTGCAACGTGCAAAAACCACTCCTGAGAAGTAGGACTTCGTGTGACTCTGTGGAGGAAGATGAATCCCCGAGCAAAGCTGCGCCAATTCCGATTAAGGACCACGGCTCTGGCCACATAGGATGTGAAACAAGAAAACCATGGGGAGGGAGAAGAAATGGAGAAAGCTAGGATGTGAAAGTGCCATCACGCAGGTGGGACTCTGGGGGCCAGCATGGAATTATCTAATTGATGAACATGGGGACGTTTACACATGAACACACGTGGGTGTGTGCCTTTGCTCCTGTGACTATAGGAGCTACATTACCTTTTATTTATACTATACACCCAGTCATCCCAATTTTTTTTGCTTTTGAAGCTGTTAATAATCGGGTTCAACTGATCAGTCTTTCCTAGTGTCTCCCGTCATCCATACAACTATAATTAGTGGGAGTGTCAGGCACGTGTTGGTTAGTAAAATGGCACCATTCACCCACTTAGTTAGTGCTTCCTATTGGCTAAGTTACATGTCTCTAGCATGTTCCAACATAGAGGAACGTTTCCCGTAACAAGAGAAGGCAAACCCCCAGTGCATAAACATGTTCATGCTTCATTTCATGTCACATTTGCTAATGTTGAATTACCAAAGCAAGTTTCCCAGTGTTTGTTACTATAACAAAGAGCTGAGATAATCAACTTTAAAAATGAAAAGGTTTGTTTTGGCTTATGGTTTGGAGGTTCCTGCCCATGATCTGTTGAACCTTGTCCTTTAGACATGTGGTAGCACAGGTTGGCAGAAGCCCATGGCAATGAAAAAGTCACTTATCTCATTGCGAGGGAACAAACAGAGAACAGAGACACATGGGTCTTTGAGGGATATTCCAGATCCAAGCTGTAGCATCTGGCCTAGCCAAGAATGAAGGAGTAAAAAAGGAGACCTCACCTCGTGGTGGAAAGCACAGCAAAGGTACCATCCTCAGGATGTGCATCCAGAGACAGGAAGACTTTCACCTTCCACAAGGTGTCACACCATCTAAGTTCACAGAGGATGAACTCAAGACGGGAGTATCTGCAGCTTAAGCAAGGCCACTGAGGGGAGTCGAAAAACAATGAGATCACAAATGAACACCACTGCTCACTTAATGTGTGAATAGAGGCAAACAATTTAATCCCTCTTAATCCTATTCCCTCAACTGTAAATGGTGGTGACATTCTCTAGGTATTCTCACAGTACCTGCTGCAGAGTCCAGGAGATGTGGCTTTCTCTTGCAGAAATCTGGGTCTCTGTGAGGGAGTCAGCAGCTACAGATGTGGAACGGGTGCATGAGCGTGGCTCTCCTGAGCACTAAAATGTAGGTCGTGACAACAACACAGTCACCCCCAATGTGACACTTCTCACCTCCAAACCCACTGGCCACATGAAACTATGTCTTTGAGGGCCCCAGGACCTGCTCATGCTGTCTGTCATACCCAACCCTCCCCATTGTCACCTTACACTGGCCAGGTGAGAGTCCAAAAAGTGTGGCAAAAGGTGAAGCTTGACTTTATCTTGATTCCATTAAAGGATCTGAGCATCAGCATTCTTCTTGGGAGCTAACCACAAGCCAAGGAGAAAAGAGAAAGCCAGAGACTGTATCTACTCCATGAACATGGGGCTGGGAGAAGGCATGTGCACATGAATACACATGTGCATGTGCTTTTGTTCCTATGATCACAGGAAGCCATTCCCTTCCATTCATAGCTATTTATGAGTGAACATCCAAGCATCCCTTGGGGGTGGGAATAGACAAAGATGAAGGTGCTAGAAAATAGGAAGTTGCTGAGCATCAGCATTTGACAAGGCTGATTTCAGGACTGGTCCTCTGAGTGCAGGGCTCCCAAGCAGTCTTCTGAGTCCTGTAGCAGCCAGTGCTTAGAATCCTAAGACTACTCCACAGCCAGAGTATAATGTACTTCCTGGCAGGAATCACCCTCATAATTAAAGTGCTTTGGGAACATTAGGATAATATGTTTATGTAAAGCTCTGAGTGGTTCTTGGATGCAGTACTAGGGCCTTAAAATGGCATGCTCACAAGGGTGACCACATGCTTACTGCATTAATAACCAAGATCCATGGACTGGAGACATAGTGGCTTCCCAATAATCTACCAGAGGTGCTCTTTTTAATGCTTTCAGAAGTACTAGATGGCTGAGAATATTAGATACCAGAAGTTCAAGTGATTAAAATGAGGGAGATTGAATAACTTATTTTGGTTTCCTAACTTTAGCACTCAAAAACTCCGTGCAAGAAACCCCTGAGTTGAGCACAAGCAAAAATGGTTTGAGTATCTCAGTCACCAAAACAGTGACCCACCCAAGGGTAGATCCAGTCCTAGATTGTACTGAGATGCAGCAAAGATCTAGCAGCAGGGATAAGGTAAACAAGGCAGTGAAGGGTGTCCGCTGCTCTTTCTAAACTGTTCCTTACCCTTTATGTTAATAGTCATGACTCTTCAGAGAAACAAAACCATAAACCAAAAAGTGAAGGTAGGGGGGAAGGGGGAGAGGAGAGAGAGAGAGGAAGGGGAGAAGGAGGAGCATTTGATTGATTTTGAGGATTGGCTTGCCTGGCTGTAGACACTGATAGATCCGGAGATCCGAGGAAAGTTACTGTTGTAACTTTGTGTCAAAGGCTATCTGGAGACAAAATTTGCTCACCCTTGGGAAACATCAGTCTGTTTCCTCCATGGGCTTTCATCTGTTTAGATGAGGACCCTCCACATATGGAGAGTGATCTGACATACTGCTGTGGAATAATCCTTCTGCACACAGTGAAGATTTGTCACTGTGATTGGTTTAATAAAGAAGCTGATTGGCCAAATAGCTGAACAGGATAAAGTTAGATGGGAAAGCCAAATTGAGAATTCTGGGAAGGAGAAGGGAAGAGAGAGGTGTCACTAGCCAAACAGAGAAAGAGTTGGACACACAAAATGGAATAGAGGTAAAAGTCATGAGCCTTGGGGCAACACATAGATTAATAGAAATGGATTATATTGTAAGAGGTAGTTAGTAACAAGCCTGAGCTATCGGCTGAGCATTTATAAGTAATCTTAAGTCTCCATGTTGGTTATTTGGGAGCAGGTGGTCAGGACAGGGAAACTTCTGCCTATAATATATTCAATATCCAGTGATTTAAATGTTAATCTCATCTGAAAAACATCTTTGTGACAATATTCACACTGGTATCTAACTATCTGAGAACTGTGGTCTAACCAAGCTAATCCATATAGTTAACAACTGCACCTACTCAGATGCTAATCAAGCCAAGATCCATACTCCTGATAGACAGCTGGCAGCAACTTACATTCTGGTGGAGCATCCTAGGAATGACATCCTCCAAGAATTGAAGGGCATTCTGACACTTACATGCACACCACCCATTCTAGTTTAAAACTGGAAAGTTCTGACTGAACCTTCACTGAGCCAAGAAAAGACCAGGGTAGTGACTAGCATACTATCCAAAGCCATTCTCAGCTTGTGTTGTGGTATTTTGAAGTCACAACACTGGAATGGATGTATAGCCACCTCCTCCCTAAACTAAGGGAAGAATTGGAAAATAAGACCCAGGCTTCTCAGAAGGTTTGGGAATGCTAGAGTGATTAGTCTCTGGGTTCAGCAGTGACAAGTGACAGAGTTTAGAATGAGGGTTGACTTTCTTCCTTATAGAAAGGACAAGGACTAGATAGGATGTACAAGCATAGCCTATAGCTACAATTACAAGGCAAATATAGTACCCATGGTTATACAGAACACATATTTTTAAACACTGCAGCTGTGACATTCTACAAGTCATAGAATTTCAGCATTGGGAGGAACTTCAGGTTCATGTGGTCATTGCCTCCAGCTGGAACATTTATTAATCAACTGCAATAAACCAGAAGCAACATCATTGCTCAATAGGCTCTGATTTTCCCATTGTATATTAAGCAGAATATGCATTAAAGGATGTGACATCTTCCAAGAAACTCTAATTGCTTCTGCATATCAAAGTATTTACTCTATTTCCATCTTCTCTGCTTCTTAAGGTCCATGTTGATCACACAGACCTTAGAAAAGTGGGCCTTGGAGGAGAAGGAAAGGTCAAGGAAGATGTCATCAAAAGTAAGAAAGGTGGAGTTTTCAGACAAGCCAAGGCATGAAAAGGCAGAGATAAAATAGAACGTGGTGAGTTAAGACACAGTGTATGTGGACAGAACCTGGGCTGGAATGGGCCATGTGCAGGAGCAAAGACCAGCTGCTGGTGGCTGTGGAACCACCACATTCACAGAAAGACAGGGAGGCTGGTGATTCAGCATCCGTCAGATGCAGACCTGGCTCTGTTCTCCTCCCTTCTGCTCTGAACAGGTGCCCCAAATCCCTGGACCTTGACACAGTCTAACCTCTAACATCACTGAAACAAAGAAAATTAGGTGAAACTTCACCAGTTTTGGTGATTTTCCATATTCTCCTAATAGGTATCTCTGGCCACATCACAGGAGGCACAGCATCTCCCTGTGTTGTCTCCTATACTTAGAACACGTGCTCCCATAAAGAAAAACACACCCACACATGTCTTCCCAAAGCATATTCTGACATTTGCTTTATCAGCAAACAAGCCATGGAAATTCTCCAAACCCTCTAAAAAATACACTCAGCCTTTCCCCCAGAAGACATGAAACACACATGCACATGCATACAGTCCTAAACATTGCAAAACTGAGCAGCTGATCAACCTAAGTGGAAACATTATATGTCAGAGTGACTCCTGACAGTCCATGACGGAGCCAATGCTATGGCCTCTGATGGTGGTGACCAAGTCGCATATTGAGTGTACAGTACGTCAAAAAGAAAAATTATTTCCAAGAACAATGATGGAAATAGCCCAAATAAGTGCTTGGAGAAAACCAAGTGATTCTGAGTTTTGGTCCAAGTAAAATATCAAAAGGATGACTCAGAAAGAAAATACACACACACACACACACACACACACACACACACACACACACACACACACACACACAAACGCACAAACGTTTGTGTGTGTGTGTGTGTGTGTGTGTGTGTGTGTGTGTGTGTGTGTGTGTGTATCGGGGGAGAGTCTTTGTAAGTTATTTTTCTTCATATACTTAGAATCGCAGAATTTCAACTTGGGTTTCAAGTGCACATGAGATGTGTCAAATGATCCAGTTTGTAGCCTGTGACCAGCCTGGAGGGGAAATGATAAAACATTGTTTTGATTATGGACCTAAGATTGTTTCAATAAACACAGCCTAGAGACTGTGTTAATATCATACTTTTAAAGTCTCTCTTTTTACTGAGCTTCATAAAACAGTTTTTGTTTGGGTTGAGAAAGGGTCTTTGGGTGTCTCGCATGCAGCCCCAAGCACTCCACATTCCTACTGTTTTCTGAGTCTTTTGGTCTCTCTTTGTGCAACTCCTTTGAGATGAGCTGGAGCCTAAAGCTTTTGTAACACTAAGAAATAAATCTCACTCTCAGGGTCACTCCAAGGCCATGAGACATTAGCTGACAACCTACAAAAATGACTCCATGTGTCTGTGACTTTGAAGGACGTCAGCAAAAGAACACGAGTTTCAGACAAGAAACTCTGACTTCAACTCCAGCCTCTGCTACTTCTGAGGTTTCTCCCCTTTCATTATTTGCTAAATGTCTGGATCTGAAATGTCACCCAAAGACTCACGTGTTAAATGTTTAATCCCAGTTGGTAGTGCTATTTTGGGAACTTCTAGAACCCTTAGGAAGTGGGGGCCAGCTGGAAGAAGTGAGTCACTGAGGACATGTCACTGCAGGTTATACCAGTCCCTAGTTACTTCCTTGCTCTGCTTCCTGTCACGTGGTGAGCAGCCTCCTCCTCCTCCTCCTCCTCCTCCATGAGCTCCTCTCATGCTGATGTTCTGCCCCAAATCAATGGAGTCCAGGACTGTGAGCTAAAGCATTTAAAACTGTGAGCCAAAGTCAATCTTCCTTCCCTTAAATTGTTTACATCATGCATTTTTGCCATAGTTGCAAGAAAACTAACATAGTGTCTAATAGGTACCATGCCTAGGTACTGAACAGAGACAGGACTTGGGGATTTTATGGTTAGAGCGATGACGCAATGCAAACCAAGAAGGTTCAGTGCAGCATGGTGTGGGCAATGGCGAAAATGCATGCAATGTACAGAAATGAAAGTGAGGGGTGCTGAATGTGACCTGGAAAATACAATGGTATAGCAAAAAATAAAAAAAATAAAAATCCTGTGCTAGGCAGGTGGGAAGACTGCTTGCAACGAGGAGCATCAGGAATGACATTCAAGAAGAGATGACCCTTGAATGAGATGTTGAAGAATGAGGCAGAAGCAAGGGAGGGGGAAAAAGGCCATTCCACAATGGCCAGTGGTGAGACATAGCACCACACAGGAAAACATGGTTCACATGAGGATGCATTTACAACAGTCTGCAGGGATAGACTTTTGGACTTTGGAAGCAATGTAAGGCAACAGGAGGGACCAAGTGCTACACAGCTGGACCAGGGACTCCAGGCTTAATTCAGAATAGAGAACCTTGAAGGCTTCTGCCAGGAAGCAATGCGATCACAGAGCTGCCGTGTGCATCCATCTCGCTGCCTGGGTCAGTCAAAACAGCCACTGCCGCAGGCCAGTTATAAGGAGACAAGACCTGAGCTGCAAAGCTGAAGCAGAGAGAAAAGGACACTCCAGGGAACACCAAGAGAGAAACTCCACAGGACCCTGAGAACTGCAGTTGGTGCTGGCGGTGTCCAGTCAAAGGGTTCAGTGACTTCAAGAATGCCTAGACAGAAATAGAACAGTCAAAGCATTAGTATGTTTTTTTTAATGTGTGTATGTGTGGCATTTTATTCTTGTACAAATATTAAGCTTATGTGAAGAAAAATCTGAAAGCATAGTTAAGGAAAAGAAAAGCCAAATGTCCATAGTCTCGGGGTGGCCATTCTCTTTTGGTGTGCACCCCCGGGGTCTTGCTTCCATTGCGATGTTTTTTTAATAGTTTGATCACAAACTGGGAACTTTCCATTTTATAACTATTTTTTTTTCACTCAACCATATAGACTAAACATCTTTCTGCTGCAATCATTTTAACTCAGCATCATTTTACTCATGGAGCAGAACCCTATTTAGTGAACTTATCACAATTTATATACTCCCTGATTGCAAAGATTCAGTGTAATTCTGATCTTGGTTTTAATTAACTTCCTTGAAGTTGGCTATCTCTGTGCATCTTTATTTCTTTTTAATGAATTCTTAAAAGAGTAATTTGTGGGCCAAAGGAAATGTGCAGGCTTAGTGTTGTTGAAGCATATGGCCAGCTCTCCCTCCAGGAAGAATTAAGGACTTACCTTCTTACCAGCTGTACAATAAAGTGAAGAGATTTCTTCTCAGGGGACATGTAGGTAGTTTCAGACACTAGGATTTTAAAGAGCCTGTAGGATGCAGCATTGGCAACAGCAAATAAATGGTTGTGAAGGAAGAAACTGGGTTTGAAAAGGAAAAGCAGATTCCTCCTTCTTCCCACACTCGCCATTTCCCTGGTGGAGTTGAGCAAGGCAATCAGTCCTACTGTGAGATGTCGGAACAGGAGCCAGACTGGGGGAAGACAAGTGTCAGCATAAGCTGAGCCTTCTGAGGGTCTTGTGGCCCAACTTGGGCAAGAAGCCATGTGTACAAGTATGTTGTGGAATATTATTTTACCGAGGCAAAGATGTGTTACTTTTGTTTATACTGCATTTGTTTAATTATGTAAAGATGTGTTGCATTTGCCTCACCTTGCCTGCCTAAGGCACCTGATTGGACTAATAAAAAGCTGAATGGCCAATAGTTAGGCAGTAGAGGGATAGGCAGGGCTTATGCACAGAGGGAATAAACAGGAGAGAACAAGAGAAGAAGAAGAGAAGAAGGAATAAAGAGAGGAACATGCCTGGGACAAGAAGCTAGGCAGCTGCCAGCCAAACAGACACAAGAAGCAGTGAAAGTAAGATATACAGAAGGAAAGAAAAGTAAAAAGCCCTGAGGCAAAGGGTAGATAAAGAGAAATAGGTTAATAATTTAAGTTAAAAGAGCTAGCCAGAAATGAGCCTAAGCTAGGCCGAGCATTCATAACTAATAAGAACTCTTCATGTCATGATTTGGGAGGTGGTTGGTGGCCAAAACAAACAAACAAAAAAAACCCAGGTATATAAGTATATAACTTGGTACAGATTTCCAGAACCTCTGAAAAGTGAGGGTGAGTGCTGTGCAGGGCAGAGGGAGGGTGGCAGTGACAGGAAGTTAACACACAGGAGGAGAAGGTAAACAAATGAATACATTGAGAATTGTGGATACCAGGCTTTTCACTGGGCTTCTGGATTACTTCTGGGCTCTCCAGGCTAAACAGGAGAGGATAGATGACAAAGAGACAGACAGACAAGCAGATGGTTTATTAGAAGATACTGGCTTACACAGATATGGTGGATGAACAATCCCAACATGGTGCTGTTGGCAAGCCTAAGGCCCCAGGAAAGTTGAAGATGCAGCTCCAGTCTGAGTCAGAAGGCAAGAGACTGACTGATGAGCAACTCACAGATGCAGAGAGCAAATCCTCTAGAGCCTTCTGAGGGATTTTATTCTATTCAGATCTTCAACAGATTGAATGAGCTGGCCATGTCTGCAAAGGCAACCTTCTTCACTCAGTCTACCAATTTGCAAGGCAAACTCATCCCCAAATCCCCACAGACACACTCGGGAGCATTGTTCCACCCAGTATCTGCACACCTAATGGCCTATCAGATTGACATCTAGCATTAAGATCACAGATACCGAAATGGTTATTGATACATGTGTTTGTATGTGGATCTATGTATTCCTTACCATTGAGAAGGAACTGAGAGAAGAGGTTTCCCAACAGCAGCAAACTCATCCAGCACCCAGATTTTATTATCTTAAATGCATTGAGTTCACTAGCACAAACCAGGATTCCTTAGGAGAATAGCTGATTCAAGAGCTTCGTGGGAAAAGTAAAGAGCCTGAACAAACCACTGTGTCAAAAGTTCAACAGGGCAAAGAATAATGGAATGAGGCAAAGGACATAAAAGCCAGTCTGAAGGATGCTCAGAAGTCAAATGTTAGCAAATTTAAGCACAGTATGTACCAATGTAGCATAATCTATTGGATAAAATAGGAGCCTATATGCATATAGACATAAATAAGTGAATACATTGAAAGTTTGGTGGTGGATAAAATATTTACAGTGTCTCAAAGTAATTCTTCACCAAGAAGCTGGAAAAAAAGACTCAGTGGTTAGGAGCACTTTGCTGTTATTGCAAAGAAACCAGCTTTGGTTCCCAGCACTCACATGGTAGCTCATAACCATCTATAGCTCGAATTCCAGGAAATCTGACGCCCTCTTCTAGCCTCTGCAGGCACCAGGCACACATGTTGTAGAGATACATATATGCAGGCAAATGTACTGGCAGCTGTTCCAGCTTTGACCTTGAAACACTGCCCCTAGAGTGACAGCAGGTAACTGCCACACCTGCCTATGACCTGCCCCTGGGGCTGACCTGCCCCTGGGACATGGCTGAGAGGGAGCCCCGTAAGACTCGAGGTGCATACGTGTTTGGCCCTTCTGGATACCTAGGGTCCTGGAAGCTGGATGGGACACCAAGCCAGAGTTCTCCGCTGGATGGTACCTCAATCTCTCCCAGATACTATAACCAACCCCTATTGGCTGTAAGTTATCCCAGAAATAAACCTCTCTTGATTACCAGATAAATTACATGAAATTGCCTCGTTAATTATAGTAATATCTGGTGACCCATATGGGGTGCCATTTGTAACTGAAAGTGTTTCTGTGTCCCACCTGGCCCTTGGTCAGGACAAATCTCTCTCACTCGCCAGTCCCGCAGCCACTCAGACTCAAATAAACACACACAGGCTAATATTGTTTTTAAACTAT